AAGCGGAGAATGATCAGTTGGAACGATTGACAGGTGGTGTCATCAGATGACGGAATGTTAGTGAATTGTTGTGAGGTTTTCTTGGTGGAAACTTTTCAACCTTCCTCAGGCTGTTCCACCGGGTTTTGCAATGTTTACTCGCAGTAGTAAAATACCAAGCAGTGGAGTGTTTTTTAGTTAGCTTTGACACTTTGCTACAACCGACGCTTGAGTGTATGGTCTTCCAATAGAACTCACTACAGATCCATTCGTTTGGGCCATTATGAACGAAGTATTCTTGCTCGGGACGAACAGGTCTCCGTACATTGCCGATTCGAAGTGCTGTTCCATTGACTTGTGGAATGGATGTCAGTCTATTTCCAAGGTGTAAGATCGCTCAAAAAAGCGTCTCAGTCTAAGTTGAGAAACCCGATATGGCAAGGCGTTACTACTTACTACAGGGGTGTTAGGTGTTAGACAAAAGGTGTGTGGCGATGAAACATTATTCCACGGGGAAGTGGCTGATAAATCCAAGATTAGTAAACTGAAATATTGATCAAAAATGCCATTTCCGGTTCAGTTACTTGAATTGATAGCAGCAGAGATTGTAATGACGAACTGGTGAAAAACGTACAAGCTACAGGGAAGCTGTGAATTGCATCAGAACCCTCTTTCAGAAGCGTAGTTGTTGCTTTATTCGACTGTTATGAGACGCTTCAAGAAATACACTATATGAACTGTCAGATATCGTCATGAACATAAATCGTGCAGTATTACCAAATGGTCTTTTCTTTTGAAAATAGATATTGGTAATGCCAGCAATCAGTCGATCACTAAGTCTCCAAAATCACTTTTTGCAGCTTGTGTGAGCAAACCCAGAATGAATTCACGAATGTCCTGGTTCGGATTGCGTACCACTGAATAAAATTTCGCCCTCTGAGGCTTCAAATTTCATCGGCTTCATATGCTGTAGGAGAAGAGATTTTAACTCATCATCCGGTACACAAACAGTTGGGGATGGATAAGCTAAGTTTTTGATTAAAGTATAAGAATTTTTACCGACAGCATTCAAAATGAACGCGGATTTGTTTTCCTCGTCCGGCTTCGAACGATTCGACCACCAAATCTCAAAACATTCAAAATAATCCTCGCTATCGCGTGAACTGCAGTTAATACCTAGGGATGCTAATGGAGTCGAATTCATTGTCGAGTAGACCGTCGCGATGCCAAATGTACTAATATGAATACTATTCGAAATGCAGTTCCTGAATTCGCCCAACACCGATCCCCGAAATAGAACAACTTTGAATAGACTAGCACAATTATTTTATTCGAATCGTATACTCTGCATATGCAATGCATTTAAAGTGTACAATGAATTGGTCGAAGTCAGTGCGATACACCATAGCTACTCCTTTTATTTATTATTCACAACAGTGCTTAAGGGTCCCCTAGCGAAGTTCCTCGTTTTGCTGTTATCATTCACTCCAATTTAATTACATTTTGACCGGAATATGCATGCACCCGTTCTTGAATGCCCAGTTCCCATGCATGATTCCTTGACTTTTTACGTAATGATAAATGAAGCGCGTGGATAGCGCAATTGAACTCATTAGGTGAAATCTTTTACCTGGCACATTTTGCTCTTCTGAATGAATGTACTTTGGTGTTAGAAAATAAAGCATCTTTAATAAAAACAAATATAATGATAAATAATATCTTACCTAAGCAAATCCGTGTAAGATGATTATACACCACAACAAATATGATAGCATTTCAGTAACATATTCTAAATCATAGTGTTTCTTTTTCTTGATTGTATAAATGATTAGATCAAGATGAGGACGTCGAAGACGAAGACGATGCAGAAGAACCTGGTTCGGGTTCGAGAGCACGTGAAGATGTAGACGACGACCAGGACCACGACCAGGACCAGGGCCAGGAGGAGGAGGAGGAGGAGGACGAGGAAGAGGAAAACGATATCAAATGCTCCAATGGAGTGGATGTGAAGTTGCCCTGTCACGTTTTGGGTAAGTTGTGCTGCACAAACTGAAATGATGTACATATGTCCACTGTGTTTGCGTATTGAACAAAAATCAATCAATAAAACGAATTGATAAACGTAATCGTCCATGGTTGGATATTTTTACAACTGAGCCCGCTAATGTGGCACAGTTTGCAACTGGTCTCCATATGCATGACGTTTCAGAAGTTCAAAAGAAGTGCGGTAAATTAGTGTGGCCTACGACATTTGCAACATACCATACTGTCGTGTGATCCGTTAGACGCTCTGTACAGTGTGTCCAAGATGCGTCAGAATTAGGAGTTTCAAATGACCGAATTCTGCCACTGAACTACTTCAATGCCTGTCAGTAGTCGATGACACGTATGTGCATATTTCATGCATGGACCTTGTTTTTCATGTATGGGCGCACTTCTGACCTGTAGAATTCACTGTGGGACGGATAAGTAACTGCCATCCATGCAAGATCATCGAAAAAATTAACCAATTCCAGTAGATTCCTCTGGTACTACAACTATTTGACCTAAGTGAACATAATAAAACTACATTGTCCGAATTTAGTTTCATCCGCAACAGAAAATGTTGTAAGGCCTTTCCACAGTTTCAAATATCAAACTATACAACACCTAACCCCGGTTGATGATGGCCACCTAATATCTACGTCGAAATAATGGTTTTCATGGTGACGATCATGCGCCTTGAAAAAGAAGAATCGACAGAAGCTGCAGCATGATATCGAGACACTGCTAAAGAATGCTCGTCAAATGTTGCGATGGAGGAGCGCATATTCCGGTCAAAACAAACTGCACTTGCTCTTTGACTGTTCCCTCCCGGATTTCGTAATTTCATGTTTTACCGTTGTGTCTATGGGACCTTGTAACTATTTCGCGTATTGCAGAGCTAAACGGCAAATAAATAAATGGTTCTTTTAGCCATGGAACAGTGAATTAGTCCACTGTGCATATCTATGTCCATCGGCTTGTGTGACAATTGTTTTTGGCGCGAAATTTCACTTTTATGGGAGTCAAACTTGCGCATCGTTTGTTATTCGTTGCATATATGTATAGGGATGAATGGAAATGCTGCGATCGGTCTCGTATCTTGAAAAGCGGAAATTTACGGAGAAGAAACCTGAACTATAAAACCTCATAACAGTAAGGAATTCCCTTTAGTATTGAGGAGATGGTTAATTGATTATATAAAAGGAATAGCAACGTGGATCCTCGTGATTCCTGTTTCAGTGTTGCACCAGAGAACTCGAATTCAGTGATGCGAATTGCCCTGTCATGTATTGGATTTTAACTGACAGAGATATTCGGTCGATTATGACTACAAAAGTATAATCGGTAGGTGTAGAATCACGAATTTTATCCGGTTGCATGTTAAACCAATTCACGTGTTGATCACCCATGTTAAAGTAGTTGTATTTGGATAAATTATTTTTTTTACTGTGGAAATACGATTACTGTAGATAGAAATACTCGCAGTTAATTAATATTTGGTGCATGTTGATGTGTTCCACTCAATCCCTCATTTACCAACTAACCCAGTCATTCACACACAGTGCCCATGATCTTCCTTCGTTCCCAATCTAGTGAAAATGATGAACTGCGGATGTAAACCTTGTGGTTCGGGAAATGGCACAGGTGAGCAATTTCAGAACAAACCACAAATAATCATTTATTCATTTTTTTCATGCCAAGTCAAGTCAAATCAAGGAATCGCTTTAAACACCTCGAAGGGTGGATATGCAGAAACCAACTAACCAAAGGGTGTCAAAAACTATAAAATCAAAATGTAATATAGGAATTAAAAGAAGTGAAACGCACAGCAACATCATAAGAAAACCAATGGCATACCAGGGTGTTTATGATTGTCTTAGTTTAGCATTTTGAGCCGATTTTCTGCAACGAGATCATGGTTTGTAAGAAATCTGTAAACTTCAGTGCTTGCCCTTGTGTGTTCATGACTGAAACGGATAGATGAATACGGTAGACACTGACCAAGAACAGGATAGAGGGGTTGAACAATATCAGATCAAATCATCTTCGAGAATTTTTTAAAGAACTTAATGTGATGTGCCACCCCATGCTTTACCATAAGTTCCCGTGGTATACGATTACATACCAACAGAAAATAAAGGCAACGATCGGAAAATGAATTTCAGGTTCTTGGTAACAAGACCGCTAAAGACAAAGGGGTACCCAGATAACCAGTGGGGCAAAACACATGCAAAAACAAAACGCCTTGTGATAAAAAAGTGATTTAGGACGTAAAACGTAAAACTTGAACCTCCTAAACTGCAGGAAAACGTCAATAATGTGGTCATACCGGGTGAGGTTACGGTTGAAAATAACGCCAAGATACTCAAAAGACGGTTGTCCATCCATCTGGTCACAGGAGATAGATAAAGGAGGGCTGGCATATGGTCACGGAAATGCGGAAACATATTACCTTCTCATATTTTTGGTGGTTGATGCGGAGATTCCTTTGTTGAGACCACTCAACTATTTCAGACACGTCTTCTTGTAGAGAGGTTTGGAATGATGGATTGGGGAATGGCATTCCCAATGAGGGAGGGGGGGATGGGTGTTCTACAAGAAGTGAATTGAGAAGGTTAACAATACCCAAATCCAATTCTGCATCAAATCTGGTGGAAAAAGTAACAATGTTTTCAAGACCTAAGGTGGTTGGTTATGCAACGGGTATCGGAACTATTGAAGTCAACACAAACGATACGAACTAAAGCATCTAAAAATGCAATCAACTTGGTTGAAAAAGAGACATAATAATCTACAGGAACATTAGATCAGCAAAACGGGGGAATATATACGTTTACAAGGAAGAGTGACCGGGAAAAGCTAAAATTTTTGGGCTTGAATAGAAGTAATGATGCCTTTATATAAAGTTTGTGAATACGAGAACACATTTTTGGTCAGATGACATCACTGATTCTTGACAAATGTGCTGACACTACCACCACATCTGGAATAGGGAACTGAACGATCTATACGATGGATAGGAGAACCACCCACATGCACTATTTCATCCTCAATTTCATTGCTGAGCCAGCTTTCTCGACGCATGATAACACCTAGATGGGAACATTCCTGTAGTTTGACTAGGTTGGCGAGATCGGTCATATTTCCGATATGTGATCAGACCATTACAACTGAGAATGATGACAACACACAAGCGGGAAATGGTTTGTTTCCGAAGAGCAACTTTCCAACCGACTCGATGCTTCCTAGAATTTTTCGAAAGCCTCCTGACAATCCTTTGGGTTTTATTCCTTACTGTCCTTCCAAAACAGGTGGTTGAATGCCTGAAATCCTGGGTGTAATTGATCAAATCAGCCATTACTGTAACCGCACAATAGTTGCATTTCCAACCGAATGACGGAAAAAGCAGACAAATTTATGGTTATGTAGTAAATAATCCGATGATTGAAAAACGGATAGCGCGGCCAAAATTCCTACTGCATACATTCATTGTCCGACAATTATTTTATAGACACTAGTGAACAGGTTCAATTTTCATGATTTACATGAATGCTAAACATCGCAAATACATTTATCCCTAACCAAGAGGGGAAAAAGCTGAAAAGATTCCGGGGAATTACTGCAACTGATTAGGACAGTAAATTAAATCTTCAAGTAGGTAGGGGTAAGGCTCACACAAACAAACAGTTTCTCGCCCAGAGAACTCCACTACGGCCAGTAAACCGCAGCTAGTGGTATGCAAAATGCAACAAATACCAGNAAATACCAGGTTACTAGTGACGATTTATTCATTACAAATCGTATGTAACCACAGTGCTGCCAGGTGACCTAATCGTCTCAGCTTTGAAACATCCGGATTGATGATCACAGTTCCGTTTAAACAAGTGCTTGTGTTAGCGGCCTAATGACGATGGCCCGGTGGTTACGTCACCAATTATCACCCCGGAGGACGAGTGTTCGAATCCCACCACCACCGCCTGACTTTCCCCATTCTCTGTGTGTTGTATGGCAGCCCTCTGATTGGCCGCTTCCCCCTTCCTGAAAATTGTATCTTTATATATTCAATAAANAAAGGAAGTTAAATGAAAATGAAAATGAAAAAAGAGAATGATGTTTCCGGGTTATCGGTAGACATATTGCTGTTATATGATAAAAAGTAGTCAGTGAACGGTATGTATTTTTAATTTAACATTCAATCGAACTGGAATAGATTTGTCGTACATGCCACGTGTTAAGGAATGTGAAGCTCAAATTATGCTGTTTCGTCCTTACTAGGATTCACTGATAGCGCACACTATAATTGCTTCCAGTACCGCTTGAACATAGTTGAACATTTTATGTCAATTCGTCTGCGAAATACTTAGCTCAGGACCAAACAATTTTTGTATACATTTATCACGTTCTTCATTGGTCAATCTCATACAAATGTACCGGTCACTGTGTCGAAGATTATTGTCATTGGCATATTCCACCTCTGCTTTATCCATTCACATCGTTATCTAACAACTATGATCGTGTCTAAATTTACTTTCAAGCAAATGGAACACAAAATGTTGATCTTCCATGTCACGCTTTGAGTGAGTTCGAACATGTGTTCTGCGCGCCACCGAACGAATTATATTGGTAAAAAATCATGGTAAACTCTGAACGTTTTCTTTTGTTGCTTTATTTGTTGCGGTCATAGTTACTAGAGTTCTGATAACAACCCCGAATTTTGGGTCCGACTTGGAACGCGAAGTGGCTTTCAGTAATTTTCAACCAGAATGTAAAATCTATTGGGAAATTACGAGAATGAGCTGCCCGAGCGGTCATTCCAAATCGATTCCAATTGCAAAGTATATCCGTGACTGGATCTGATTTCCGGGTGCTTGTTAAATATAAGTCAGAAAACTCACCGAAAATATTTAGAGGCGATTCCACCTAGAAAGTTTAGTTTCTTTCATGCTATTCATATATCAGTACAAAGTTGTCATCCAAACACATGTACATTCTCTGTTCCATAATC